CTCCTCCTCGTCTTCCTCCTCCTCCTCCTCCTCCTCCTCCTCCTCCTCCTCCTCTTCCTCTCCAATGCACCGCCATTTAAGTCGAGCTCTGCGTTTTCACATGTGTGCCGCCAGACCTGATGACGTCAGTCCGCGAGCTCTAGTTTTGAAGAGACTGGAGGAGTAGGTGGAGGAGGAGGCGGAGGAGGGAGAAGGAGGTGGGGGAGGAGGCGAAAGAGAGGACCTTGGAGCTTGCAGTACTGTTTCGGCACCTGCAGCAACTGCACCCTTGCAAGATGTTGCGTGCGTGTTTCACCCCCCCCCTCCCCTCCAATGAATGTGGGTAACGGGGCAATGCTTCCCCTTTCTAGGCTTTGCCTGGGGGGGGCTGATCCGGCAGAGGATTTGGCCTTTTCGCAGCAGTAGGCTGCAGCCTGAGCACGCAAAGTCTCAGCGCAAATACGCTTGCGGAGTGATGATGGCTGTCTCCTTGATATATAATGAAGCTGCTAGCCAGCGTGGGCCCCAAACTGTGTGCGTTGGCAATATATGTGAAGAGTGCTGCTTGGTGGGACAGTCCTAATGCCCCGAGGCTCCCTGAACAAGAGGCTCCCTGAGGTTTTTAGCTGGCCCCACCAGAGGCGCCCATAACAAGCCAAGATACCCCCAATACGGCCCAAGAAGAAGAGGGGGTCAAAACAACGGGTTAAGTTGGCTCCACCACAACCCGCCGGGGGATGATGAGGAGGAGGGGGAGGAGGAGGAGGATGTGTTACGCTATGCGTAATGCTACGCTATGCTACGCTACGCTACGCGATATGGTAAGCTATGCTACGCTACGCTGTGCGATATGGTAAGCTATGCTACGCTACGCTATGCTGCGCTACGCTGTGCTACGCTGTGCTACGCTATGCTACGCTATGCTACGCTACGCTATGCGTAATGCTACGCTATGGTAAGCTATGTCGCGCTATGCTACGCTATGCGATATGAGATCATCATCATCATCATCATTCCTCCATTTCCCCCTCTTCGTCGCCGATAACGCATGCATTGCGAGCGAACCGCTCAGCAACGCATTGCGACTTTTTGTTGATTTTGCATTGCACTGCGTGCAACAGTGCCTTGCATCGCAATGCAATTCTTTGCAATGCTACGCGTAATTTTTTACATTATCCACTACACTAAGTGGAAAGCCGCAAATATCGGAGAGAACGCGATGGTATCGTGCAACACGGATGGACGATCACATAAAAACATATGCCACCGCCCTCCTCCCCTTTCTTGAAAAGGAACCGCCCTCCATCCGTGTAACTGTTGCAAACTGTTAAGCTGTGGTTCATACTTAATCATAATCACCATCACCATCGCCATCATCATAATCACCATCACCATCGCCATCATCATCATCCTCATCACCATCGCCATCATCATCATCACGCCGAACGGCCTCGTCTATTTTTTTGCGCTGCTTGCACTTGCTTGCATTTGCAATGTGTTGCGGTTGTGAACCTGTGGGCGTAGGTGGTTTAGCGGCGATCTGAGTGTACGACCGGCCGCCGACCAGGGCGGGGGCCTTGTGGGCGAGGACCACGACGTCCATCGTCCTCGTCCATCCTCGTCCATCCTCCCTTCGTCGTCGTGAAGGGTCTACAATCCAAGGAAAAGGGCAAACGAGCATCCGTGCATCCAGCTTAGGGGCATCCAGCTTAGGCAGCAGCCGGGGGGGGGGTGCCGGCGGGGGGGGGGGTGCCGGGGGGGGGGGGTGCCGGCACCGGGGGGGGTGCCGGCACCGGGGGGGGGGTGCCGGCCCGGGGGGGGGGGTGCCGCACGGGGGGGTGCCCGGCACCGGGGGGGGGGTGCCGGGGGGGGGGGGTCACCGGGGGTGCCGGGTGGGGGGGTGGTGCCGGCACCGGGACCGGGGGGGGGGTGCCGGCACCTCGGGGGGGGGGTGCCGCACCGGGGGGGGGTGCCCGTGCCGGCACCGGGGGGGGGGGGGGGGGGGGGTGACCGGGTCGGCACCGGGGGGGGGTGCCGGCACCGGGGGGGGGGGCCGGCACCGGGGGGGGGGGGTGCCGCACCGGGCTTTCTTGGGCCGGTGGGGAGTCCCGGGGCCCGGTTCGGTTCCACCCGGTTCGGGCTTGCCGTTCGGGCCGGTTTCGACCGGCCGGTTCGGTTCGAACCGCCCGGTCCGGTTTCAGCCGGGCCGGTTCGGGCTCCGGTTCGGGCGGTTCGGTTGCAGGAGCCGCCGGTTCACGGTTACCAGTTCGGTTCGGACTCTTCCTGCAGAAGGGGTACCACGAACCCGAAAGTCTAGCCTTTCGCCCCAAGACGCTCCCAGGAGGCCCCCACAGACCCTCAAGAAGCCCGAAGAGGCCCCCAAGAGGCCCCCAAAGGGGCTCAAAAAGGGCCGCAATAGGACTCCCAAGGAGGCTCAGAGAAGCCAAATAAAAAGCGATCGGTACCGCAAAATGCTCTTCACACCAAGGCTCCCAAGAGCGAAAGGTGACGTAAACAAGCT